AGCTGGGGTTCTGAGACATTTGACAATCTGTGCAGAATCGGAGCTGTGGGAGGTCGGGTAACTGGCCAAAGTCAACCTGTCCATTCACGGCTCAAACACAGGCATTCAGCTCCCAAGGTCAGGGGCCTGTCCTCGCCCGCAAAGCACAGCTGTCTCTGAAAGGCCCTCACTCCCATCTGGGGAGCCCACATCAGAGGGACATTAGACTCACCTGGTGGGTGAGCTTTCTAAGCCACTGAGGGCCAGGCGCCCCCTTCCTCTCCAGAGACTGTCAATTAAGTTGTGGGGCCCAGGACTGTTATGAACGAGGGGAATTCGGCTTCATTTGCATCCCTTGGAAGAATGAATCCAGGGCTGAGGTGACCCTGTGATAATTTCTGAAGCTGCACTATTTATTGTTGCTGGAAATGCAGCAAAGTTTTCCTGAGCGTTTGAATAGAAATATGAAAAGCAGGGTGGCTGGCCTCCAGGGACTTAGAGGCAAACGAACGCAGGAGACAGACAAGTTATCAATGACCGGGCAACACGATGCAGCCGACGGAGGACGGAAATGAATTAGCAGGAGGTCTGACCAATCGGACAGGCAGGAAACTGAGGCCCTGGGCCCGCCCCGTGGCTGCAAACGGCCACGTGTTTGCATAATGCTACAGCTGACCCGTGAACGATGAGTGTTTGAATGGCACGGGTCCACGGACATGTGGATCTTTTTTTTTGATAAATAACGTAAATGTATTTCCCTTAGGATTTTCTTAATAACATTTTCATTTCTTTAGCTTACTTTATTGTTAAGAGTACAGTATGTCATACCATACATATAACACATAAAATATGTGTCAACTGACTGTGTTTTGGTAAGCCTTCTGGTCAACAGTAGACTCTCAGTAGCTATATTTTGGGAAAGTCGAAAGTTATAGGTGGATTTTCGACTGTGCGGGGGTCGGCGCCCTTGACCCCTGCATCGTTCAAATCGTTCAAGGGCCAACTGTCCTTGGTACTTTAAACAGCTCCAATTTGTGGGCCCAGAAAACCTCCGTTTGGTGCATCTCTCTTGTAACTGAACACACGACGCGAAGAAACAGAGCTTGTTTCTTATATCGAGGACAGAGGGGTGAGCCGTCCAGGGCTGGGGCGGTGACTCAACCATGCCACCAGGGCCACAGGGCTGTCCACCTCTGCCCACCAACCTGAGCACATCAACCTCCACTCTCCTGCCCACTGCTTGTCCAGCGAAGGGGGGCTGGCGCCCCTCCTGGCCTCTCACAAGTTCTAGGCGGGGGTGGGGGTAGAGAATGCCGAAGAAAAGAAGGGGGTTTGCCCTCGCGGCACTCGGCTTTTGTATGAGTAAAGGGGAACCTTTGTAGGTACCAGACCTGTCTTACGTGTCACTTGGCCACTGCTAGTTGCAAGGGATGCTGGGATAGTGAGCACGTTCGTTTTGAGCAAAGGAGAAAGGGAACGTGGGTGACGTTAGTGTCGGTCTCAGTTGGAAATTCCTTCTTTTATATACCGGTTTTTAATATTTAAAAAATAAGAGTAATGTATTTATATGAGTTTCCTATGGCCACTGTAACATGGCCACGAACTCTGTGGCTTAACGAAACGCAAGCTCACGCTCTTACAGTTCTGGAATCTGAAATGGATCTTAAGGAGCTAAAACCAAGGTCTGGGTAGGGCTGGTTCCTTCCGAGGCTCCAGTGGGGGAATCTGCTTCTTGCCTCTGCAGCTTCTAGAGGCTTCCTGCAGTCCTTGGCTCATGCACACATCACTCCAACTTCTGCTTACGTCATCAAATCTCCTTCTCTGCCTCCGACCCTCCTCCCCCCATCTTATAAGGACCCTCGTGACTACACTGGGCCCACCCGGCCTATCCCGGAGAGCCTCCGCGTCTCAAGACCCATCTGCAAACACCCTCATGGCCTGCTGGGTAGCATATTCACAGGTTCTGAGGATTAAGGTGTGGACGTCTTTGGGGGCCACTGTTCTGTCTATGGCATGTGTATGTGGTTTTAATAATGAAATAGACTTTCACTGAAAAACAGGGATCCCGTGTGTGCAGCCGCCCCCGACGTCCGCCCCCCCACCCCGCCCCCAGTGCACTCCCTCGTGACCCACCTTCCGCCATTACATCTCTCTAAAGGATGTGCTTTGCTGCTCTTTCTCAATGGAGCAACTGTAGCATTATCTACCAACTTCCTGTCCTGGAAAAGGAGGGCCTTGCAACCTTCTCCAGCCCACGCTGAGGGCGGTCGTGAAAGGCCGGCAACCAGAATCTGGGTAAAGCACCTAGCACGGCACTAGGGGATGCTCGACAAACGAAACCTCTCATTATTCTCCACAAGTTTCAAAACATGCAGATGCCGGACCTCGTTCTACGAAATGTCGCACCTGCCTTTCCTGCTCCAGAAGGTCCTGGAACAGTTTCCACTGCTGTTTCCGAAAGCGATCCGACTTCCCCAGCTGTCGGGCGGTGTTCTCCTGGGCCTCCTGCCTCAAGTAGTCACAGTCCGCCTGGGAGAGGCCGGTCATGCCCGGGAGTGTCTGCAGGAACAGGACGTCCGCAAACTTCTGGAATGTTTCCATGGTGCTGCGGTACAGCTCCTGAAGCCAAGAGAGCCACACGGCAGAGTTACAAGTCAAACGCACGAGAAGTCCGGAGGGTGTAATGACAAGATATGGACTCTAAAGTACTGATGCTTTCGATGCTCATGAAGGTGAGAGCCACTCTTAAACCTTAAAGCAAAGAGCTGGAAATTATAAAAAGTAACACTGCTTAGTCAGAAAAGAACCAATGAGAACTTCTAGAGTTGAAGAATGTTGTCCAATATCATCAACCCAATGCACAGAGTTACTTGCAGCTTAGACACAGCTGAAGAGAGAATTAGTGCGGTGGAAGACAGATCAGGAGAAAATCCAGAACGAAGTAAAGAGAGACTTAAGCATGGGAAATATGGAGAAGACAAAGGTATAAAAGATACAATGAGAAAGTTCAACATATGTATTTGGAGTCCCCAAAGGAGAGAAGGGAGAGCCCAGGTAGAAGCAAAATTTGAAGCAATAATGGCTGAAAAATTTCTCAAAACTGATGAAAGAAACTTATAGATAAGAAAACTGAGGCTTTATTGCACATGAAAAAGAGACATTAAATAAATTACATGAGTCTACACACAGGGCCCTAGTAGTCAGACTCCAGTACCCACAATCTTAGCCATAATGCTCTCAGGTAAAGTGTTTTAAACAATGAACAAATAAATGAATGAATGAATGAATGAATGAGGGCTTAACCAGCACCTAGGAAACATCGGGTTACTTTTTGCTATATTAATAGTAGGTAAAATAGCTTTTAAGAAAAAAAAAAGCATGACTAGAGATAAAAGGGTTCACTTCATAAGGCTAGAAGGCTTAGCTCACCAGAAAGGTGTTAAATTCTGAATCTGTATAATTTTAATGGCATTACCCAAATCAATGCAATTTGCCACATTCACAGAATAATGTAGAAAAATATCACAGGATTATGTGACTAGATGAAGAAAAAAGCATTTTACAAAATTTAATTCTCATGCAAAACAGAAGTGGAAACTTCTTCAATCTGTAAAACAAACAAACAAAAAAACCAAAAAAACAACTATCGCAAACATTACACCTAAGGGTGGAAACTACAAAATCATATTAAGAAAAATTAAATA